GTTTTGCTGCATTCATGTTGAGTTTAATATCTGACCTTGAGAATGAAAATGCTTGTGTGTGAATGTCGTAGCATCATTTGAATTGGCACAAATTGCTACAATATTTCAGCACTGAGCTTGAGGCATGTGTGCCAGTGCGTTTATCCATTTGTTAACAAAGCAATAGCCAAAAACTCCAGAGTTTCCATTGAAATCCACTCAAAGGCCTCAGAATATTGAGCTTCACTGTTTGAAGCGCATAAATCCACCTAGAGGAAGAAATCTGCAGCTCGTTCACGACTCAACATAAAGGTAATGGCCTTTCCCAGCATGCACTGGCTGTGTACGGGACGGCTGACAGTAGCTACAGGTCTGGCCCTTATCTGACATTGATGAATGACCAGTGCAATGATCCAATGCCATTTTTCTCTTGCGTTAAGCTCTGTCAAGCTGCAGTTATTGAGTTCAGTCCAAAGCTGTTTTTGTCTCCATCATTCTCCCGCTGTGATGTCCGTTCCTCCCTCAGCTTATGCGTGTGTTTGGGATCCAAAAACCCACTGGAAATCTGCTGATATTGTTTTCACTTAGGCCCAATCCCAATTCTACCCCTTAGCCCTTCCCCTTTCCCCTACCCCTCTGTTTCGCATGTTCACGTGACGGGGTAGGGGTGTCTCGATTCTCTTTTGGTTGGAGGGGTAGGGGAAGGGCCAGATAGCTCTTCAAACTAAGATTTTTCGGGACCATACTTCAAACGAAGGGGTATGAATTATCTCAGCGTAAACCGGCTTCAGGGGCAACATGGCTGCCCGAGCGCACAAAAAGACACATAAATGTAAGCATTTTTGGCATTAATAAAGATTTTAACGAAAAGTAATAATTTGTTTTATGTTACATTCAATCGTGAGTTCGTACGTTTACGGTCATGTTACTCAAAGAAATGTTTGCAAAAAATCTTATGAATCATAACTATCGAAATGATGACAAAAAAAGTAAAAAAGACTAATAATTGACTTATCTCATAATTTCGACTTTTTATTTCATAGTTATGATTTAGTATGTCATCATTTTTACTCTCTGTCTCTCTTGACTTTTATCTCAATTTCAACTTTATCTCATAATTGACTTATGTCATGACTTATCTCAAGTTTAACATTTTATCTCATAATTCTGACTTTTCATTTCAACTTTAATCTCATAATTCTGATTTAGTATGTCATAACTATGACTTTCTATCTCTATATAATTATGATTTAGTACGTCATAATGTCCTGATTTTTTTCCATCTCATAATTATGACTTTTTTGGTCATTTATCTCATAACAGTTGTTTTCATAACTTAGGATTTAAAAAAGCATGATTTGTTTATTACGTTACAGAAATTGACACATAACTATGTAATGTCATAGCTTTGACTTATCTCATAATTCAAATTTTTGTCAATCATACATTTGATTTATCTAATAATTGACTTGATGTCATATTTGACTTATGTCATATTTATGACTTTTTAATCTAAATTTCAACTTTATCTCATAATTATGACCTATTATCTCATAGTTATGACTGTTTATGTCACATGACTTTGCAATTTCCACGTTTTATCTCATAATTATGACTTCAGGTCACGACTTATCTCAGTTTGACTTATTATATCATAATTATGATTTCTGTCTCATAGTTAAACTTTCGTATGTCATAATGTTGACTTTCTATCTCTTAATTATGACTCTCTACTATGTCATAATTATGGTTTACAAGAGAATGATATTTTTCTTAAGTGGCAGAAAATGGGCTTTTAAAAGCTGTAGCTGTGAAATGTGTGTTACTTTTGCAGTTTCTGGTTAATTGGACGCTTGGTTGTATTCGTTGAGCTTTAAGAACCTTTTGAACCAGCGCACAGCTCAATACACACACACACACACACACACACACACACACACAGAGATCCGTCTAAAATAGTCTCAGTATTCAAAACAAACCATCTATTTTCTCCCCATCCTCATCTGGATTCACAAGCACACAGTTATTCGAGGGTCTTTGGTCCAAATAATTCTGTCATTAGTTTGTGTTTGTGTTTCTTCAGCGTAACGGCGCACAGAGTTCCTCTGAGGTTTTGTGGAGAGGTATCGGCTGCTATATTCCTCCTGAGAGACAATGAGTGATTTAGTTTCTCATCGCTGGCCTGGTGGCATCTGCTGCATGTCAATCACACAGGAGGTTTATCTGGACACACATCACAGGACGTGATGACAATATAGTCGGGTGGTTTCTCATGGATTTCATGTGTTTTGTGTGTGTGTGTGTATGGTGGTCTTTCTCTAGGTTCTTCAGATCCGTGTTTTGGTTTCCGGGTTATTTAAAGCACCAGAACTTCGATAGTTTGCTATATAACTTGAGACTAAATAAGCTATTTTTGTGAGTTGAATTGTTAGATTTTAAATACCTTCTTTCTTGCGTTGAACACAAAAGGAGATGCTTAGCAGAATGTCCAAGATGCTCTTTTCTATATTATGAAAGTATATAGTGACCAGGAACTGTCAAGCTTCAAAAATGGCCAAAAAGCACCATGAAAAATTTGTAAATCCAATGCATATACACTGTAAAACTTAAAAAATTTTTTTGTTGTTGTAAATAAAGAAAATACAATTTCATTGATTTTACAGTGGTTTAATTCAGTATTACTTGCCATTGCTTTGTAATTATTTGTGAAGTTCACTAGCAGTTTCTTAGTGAACATAGTTTCAAAGTAAATCCTACACCACGTTTTTTTTTCATTGCATTATTTCCAACGTCATATGATGCTTTGTGTGAAGTAACAACTTAAATTTTAAGTTGCTATGTGCTGAAAATCTTCCCCACCGTGGCTTAAATCTGAATATTCAGACTTGAAACATCAAGATGCATTGTGTAAGTAAGATTTGAGAAGTGAATAACAACTTAGATTTGGGTCTGTTCCATTCAAAAAACTTATGACTCATATGAACTATTTTTATGGGTTTCTTCGACTTGACAATTGTTGTACTGTACATTTATAGGGTGCAAAAACTTTTGCTTCTAATTAGAGCGACTAAAAATGCAACCATAATCTGGAGATTATCAGATACATTCATGCCGCAGTGACTGCTGCTTGAGTTCATTTAATAGCAACAAAATATTTTACTGTAAATTGAAGATGTCAAATAAGACTTATGGCTTATGAACCCATCATATAGTGTGTTTTCAATTAAGGGTGCTGTTAAAAGTGTGTGTAATCGGATAGACTCAGAATTCAAAAGATGTGCGAAATACACACACACACACACACACACACACACACACACAGAGATCCGTCTAAAATAGTCTCAGTATTCAAAACAAACCATCTATTTTCTCCCCATCCTCATCTGGATTCACAAGCACACAGTTATTCGAGGGTCTTTGGTCCAAATAATTCTGTCATTAGTTTGTGTTTGTGTTTCTTCAGCGTAACGGCGCACAGAGTTCCTCTGAGGTTTTGTGGAGAGGTATCGGCTGCTATATTCCTCCTGAGAGACAATGAGTGATTTAGTTTCTCATCGCTGGCCTGGTGGCATCTGCTGCATGTCAATCACACAGGAGGTTTATCTGGACACACATCACAGGACGTGATGACAATATAGTCGGGTGGTTTCTCATGGATTTCATGTGTTTTGTGTGTGTGTGTGTATGGTGGTCTTTCTCTCTCTCTCTCTCTCTCTCTCTCTCTCTATACACACACATACGCACTCACGTTACATGTTTATATTTATATATATATTTATATTTATATTCTTCAGGCATCTTGGAGATGTTGCCACAGTTCTTCTGGATTTAGTCTGTCTGGGTTTTTTCTGATTCTTCATGTCATTCACGGACTGGATGATGGTGAGATCAGATCTCTGTGTGCAGCACTGGCTGTTGTCAGACTCTTTGTGCATACAAAAATCTCACTGGATTATTACAATGAATTAAAAGTAATGTTTGGAAATGTAAACTGATATTTCCGACGGACACACTACAGCAAAAGATATAAATAACTGACTTAAAACCATTTTTTGTTGGTTTTATATATATATATATATATATATGTATATATACTATTTGTTATTTTTAATATTTTTCTTTTAATTTTTATTCTGTTTATTAATTTAAGTTATTTTTTATTTATATATTTATGTTTTATACACACACACTGTATTTAAAAGTTTTTTTTATTTTTGCATAATTTTAAGATAATTTGTATTAAAATATAAAATGTATATTTACATATCACTGCATGAGACATTTTTGGGAAAAAATTTATATATAGACAAAAAAATTATATTATTTTTGAGAGAGAGAGAGAGAGAGAGAGAGAGAGAGAGAGGGATACACATAACTATTTTACTCAGTTTTACTTTTTTAACTTTTAATTCAAATTGGAATTTCAAAATCATATGTAAGTTCTCATTGGCGCTTATGGTTTGAATATTAAAGTGATGTCTGACAGCATTGCTGATTCTCCTGATGAGATTGAATTAAAGCCACAGCAGGTTTGTGTGTGTGTGTGTGTGTGTGTGTGTGTGTGTGTGTGTGTGTGTGTGTGTGTGTGTGT